AGGGGTTGGGGCTGGGTGATCTCTAAGGTCCATTCCAATCCCTAAGGTTCTGTGATTCTATGAGTATCCCTTCCAGCCTTCAAAAGACATCATTTCCCCCAAGAGCATATCCTTGGCAGCTCCAAGAAGAAACGAACTGAATGTAATCTGGAGGAGAAGGTGCCTCACATCCACACTGGTCTCCCCCATCTACTCTAGCCACAAATAATCACCAAGAGTGAGTCTCACAGGGCTGTTCTTCACAGGCCAGAGGGGCCTTACCTAGCTCTGCACAGCATTCCAACACCAGAAATCCTGAGGAACGCATTTCCTGTGCTGCTCACAGCCCAGATTTACCTCAGCTCATGTCCAGGCACTCCCAAAAGACAACATTTTTAACATCCACACCTATTCTGGGAAGGAAAAATGTGGGTTTAAAAATAAAAAAGGTTTTATTTATATATTTGTGGATTTTTTCATTGCAAAGGATATAAATTCGATTGCAACACCACTGGATGTAAACCCACAAGGGAAAAAAAAGAAAACAACACCCAAATAAATTATGTCAAGTGAAACCAACCAAACAAGAAGTGAAAATTAGATGTTTTCACTGTTCAGTCAAGTCACCACCTGTGAAATGCAAAATGCTACAGCCAGGAGAGAGAGAAGCTGAGCTTCTTTTGCACCTCCTATCAGCTGAACACTGTGCAAGGGCACTCTGAGCTGCAAAGCCACTAATGAAGTCTATTTTTGTACCAAAAGGCTGCCTGTGCAAACTGCCAAGCAGCACAGGGATTATGTCCCAGCACTGTGGAGTGCTCAGACACACGAGGTCTGCTCTGGCACTTCAGTGCCTGTCAATGCTGCCTTTGTCTGAGCACCCCTGGGAGGAGAGTCGATTCCACGTGTTGGATTGGTCTGAACAACAGCTCAAACTGGCTTTGCATCAGCTAATGCATTCTCTTGTTGCTGCTTCCCATAAAGCACTTGGAATATCATGCTGAGGAGAAAAAAAAAGGGTGACAGAGTGGCACATTCCTGTGTCACTGCAGGTGAGTCCTAACCTTCTGGGTTTTGAGGGCATAACACTGAAGAAAATCACAGACTCATAGAATTCTAGGGGTTGGAATGGAGCTCAGAGATGCTCAGTTCTTCACTGCTGTTTTCTGATGATGAGTAACACCACAAATATCTCTAGGTCTTCAAATATTTTTAGCCAGGACCAAATGCCACACTGCAATGTCCATGCCTTACCAATGTTCGGTGCTTTGCTGTGTTCACGGTTTCCTTTAATAATCTCTTTTTCCTCTTTCTTAACTGTTGTAAATGTTGAACCAGACACCTTTGCGAAGGGCTCCAGGATTGCTCCTAAAGGCTGGAAACTACCCTCAAATCATTCAGCCTTTTTGTATCATTCATGAAATAGAATCCTGGAGTTTTAGGGGTTGGAATGGATGTTAGAGCTCATCCAGCCCCAACCCCTGCCCTGGGCAGGGACACCTCCCACCAGAGAAGGTTGCTCAAGGCTCATCCAACCTGGCTGTGAACACTGCCAGGGTTGGGGCAGCCACAGCTGCCCTGGGCAACCTGGGACAGGGTCTCACCACTGCTTCATTTGTTTTCAGGCTATTGCCTTGAAGCACCAGCCATAACCATGATTCCTGGTAAGGACACTTCTCTCCTGACTGGCTGCTTGCTCCATTTTTAGGGATTTTATGCCAGGAAATTGCAAACATGCTCACAAAAGAGGTCAACACTCTATTTCAGTAGCTATTTAGGGCTTGCAGTTTTTAAGGTAAACATCTAACTAATGTGACATAAAATCTGAGCAATGCATGATCTGTTAATGCTGTTTCCTGGCCAACAGGACTAATCCTGGTAAGACCAG